GCCCCGGGCCGCCTGCGCTCCCCTTTCCCTCCCCAGAGCAGCGGGGCCAGTTGCTCGCCCTGCCCAGGCCTCCTCCAGCCCTTCCCACAGGCCGTCTGCCACTCATTTCTGCCCCATCCATCCCTCACCTTTTCAAAGGGCTCAAACAAATGAATTTCTGACGATTATTAAGACTAAACTGTGAGGTATGAAAAGCCTTGCTCGTGCTTTGCTTCACCTGTTTCTCAATGATTCCTGACTCAACTGTTCCCTGGGGTCCCCTTGTCTGTTCAGATTGAAACGCTCCTCAGGCTCCCGAGGTAAATCACTGGGAGCAGACTCAAGGCCTTCAACTCCTAGAGTGGGAAAACTAGGATAAGGGGGGGCTCAAACAAAGAGACACAGAGACCCTGTTACAGGGAGGATGATTTAGGAAGGAGGCACCTGGACTTTCCTTCACAGCCCACACTCTGGAAAGAAGGTCAACCAGTGAACACTGTGAAGAAGACTGCTTATTTCTGCCCTTAACCACCAAAGACCCTCACCCTATTTACACTACGCATGCTTCGACTATGTAAGTGAATTCCAGGAATTCATAAGACACCCGTTTCTAGGAAATCTAATGGCTATATATGATTTGTGTGTGTAAACCGATGTCCCTTACTAATTCTTGGGAGCCCTTGTGGGGGAGAATCCCCGGGGTGACCTCAGCACTGCTAATAAAGAATACCTGCTTAACAATATTTAAAAAAACCCTACTGTCAAGTCAATTTTTTTTGTTTATATTTCCTGATCAGAAGTACCTGCAACCCTTTATCTTCCTTGAGCTGGGGCAGCCTTGGCCTTTGAAAACTGTGCCCTGAGCCTCTTCAGGAGGCCGTTGCCTCCAGGCACAGCCTTGCCCTGTCCCTCCAGTTGGAGCCAGGCCTCTGGGAAGCAGCTTTTTGGTGCTACAGGGATGGAGCTCTGGCCTGGGGGCTCAGAGCAGACTGGGGAGCAACATCCTCTCTGCAGCCTTGCGCTTCTGCCCCCCTCAAGGGAAGGCTCAGCCAGCCCAAGCTGGTCAGTCCCCAGCTTACACTTCAAAAGGACAGGGAGTACAAGCAGCTTTTACTGATTTTTAGCTACCCGTTGGCCAAAAATGGCCCCATTCTGTCCAAACTGGAGATGCCAAAAATATACCTCTAATTTACTACCTAAAGCATAATAAAGAAAAATTACAGATTTTACCTATGCAGATATACTGCATAACAGCTCATCCCTAGTCAGTGTTTATGATCTTATTTATATCTGAACAATTGAGGTTTTATTACCAACTGCTACAAAACACAACCACAGATTTCCTGGCTCTTGCATATAGAATAATTAACCAATAACAAGCCTTTATAGCATCTTTTTATGAAGAGATAATAGTAAACGTGAAGCGTTGCAGTGGTAGATTGTATCTGCCCCATATAAAAGCAAAGCTGGCAAAATGCAATTATTTGTGTGACATCAAAACAGAGATTCTCCGTGCAGATTTGAAAAACTAGAGAATGAGCATGCTAATGAAACAAACTGAAAGGAATATTTATGATACAGTGACTGTGACACTTGCAAAGTACACACCTTTCTCAAAAAGAATGACAAAATACACTGCACACTTAGTTTAGAAAATCACTTAGTTTAGAAAATCTCTCCAAAACCACTCTTATCTATATGGTTCTCGACTGTTGCAGGTAATTTTTGCAAGTCTTTTGTTCCCGATACATGTTTTAAAACTGTTTTTTTCAGTAAATGCTGCTACAAAAACCACCTTTAACTTAGAAGTTACTATCTGTCAACAGTAATAGACCATAGATTGTAAACAGAGATTAGTGCAGATTTGCAGCTACTATCTAAATCCACCAGTCATGAGTTTCTTTGGTTCACTGCCAATAACCTTTGGGCTTCTGTACAGGAACAGGTTCAAATGTACTTTAGAAAGATTCATATAGACTAATCTCTGAGGTTTTCTGTATAGAGGAGTTTCATCTTTTGATCTAGTTTAGCAGAGGCACATTGTATACCTAACTTAAAATGGAAAAGTCTAGAATAGAAGAATTCTATGCACTTTATAGCTATATTCATTACTGTTTTAAAATACAATTATATATGAACAAAAAAAAATCAGCTATGGATTTGTCAATGCTGGAAGGAAATAAGCACAAACATGGGCACACACCAGGAGCTTCTTTTACTCATCTTCCAGGTATCAGATAGGTGCCTGGCACAGACCTGCTGCTTGTGTCTCCAGATCTCTCATCTCATATGCAAGATGCAAAGAGCTGAAGGCAAACTGCACCGCTGGATATAAGCCCTCCTTATCTAACCCATATACTATGGGCTCCCCACGTCATCCAGACATTCAAAGTCAAGCTTAGCCTTCTTCTGTGGTTGTTTCTCCTGGAGACAGATTTACAGAAAGAGATATAATACTTATGTCTCATCTTTGTGTTGGTTACAGGAATATTTTGCTGTAGTCTTCACACAGGTTTCATAATATACTTTTTCTGTACTTTGATTGAGTGATATTCACATTTTTTATTACTGAGCTTTGAAGTAGCAATCAAGAAAAATTTGAGTAAAGCCATGAGTTAATCAGGATAAGAAAACTTTCAGGAAATCAGAAGTTTCCTGAGACTGAAGAATGAACATGTGTCAGTTCAGAATCAGTATGTCATGCACTTGGAAGATTTACAAGAACTGTGTGAAAAGTTAAAGACAAGTCTCTTGAGATTATTGGCCATTTCTTGACTAGTTTTTAACAGAAGGGCTCCAGAAGTGAGAGGTAAAAATTGGAATAAAAAATGAAGGAAATAAAGTCAAGGATGTTTATTGTCAGGTCGAGTAGGGAACCATGCAGAATATTGTGCTGTACAACAGCAGGTCGTGCAGATAGTTCTCACAAGAAGAAATCACAACTTTTTTGATATGCTAACTCTGGCATAACTGAATTTCATTATAGCACTTCTACATTTTCATGTAAGCCTGCTTCATTTCCATCCTGACCAGGATTCTGACAAATCCACATAACCAAAGGATACTCATGCATGCTCACTTGCTGTCTTAAACTCTTGAAGGATCACAGGGGAGGCCAGTGGTGCTCAGCTTTGCCCAAAGTTTCACTCAGGCACCATCATTTCCATGCTGAATGATACTCCAA